GCATTCCCAATCTTCTCCAGAAACTGTCCATGCTCTCCATCCCACCTTTGAATTCATCTCTTTCTTCCCTTTATTCCCATCACCCCACTTCTTTAGTAGGTGATGGAACAATTAACAGAGTAGCTAGGTTAACACAGAAGAAAATGGTCAGGATTGTATTTAAGGATGGTCACTAACACAAGCCTTTGTTCATAGGAATGAGTAATTGAAGTTTATATAAGTCAGAGTCTTTGCTAAATTTGAAATGTTCAGAGTATGGGGCTGGGAATGAGGCTCAAGCGGTAGCGCGCTCGCCTGGCATGCGTGTGGCCTGGGTTCGATCCTCAGCACCACATACAAAGATGTTGTGTCTGCCAAAAAAATAAATATTAAAATATTAAAAAAAATGTTTAGAGTATTATATCAGGCTTCTAAGGATGCCAAGTGTGAGGCAGACACTCATCTGAAAGAATGCCCTTTGATTATACCTTAATCTTAGCCTCTCAATGCAAAATGTGTGAGGGTGTTAATGAGGAAGACTGGGATGCAACTTGTGATGAATTCAGTGGGGATCCATGTCTGACTGATGTCCTAGGACTGATAGGTCAATGGTGTCATCTTTTCACATTCTTACTTGGATTTCTTTTGCACACCTAACCTGATACTCTTGTTAATAGATGCTAGCAGATAGTGATAATCAAGAAATGGTGGGAAATAATGATTAGTAAATCTGTATTTATCCTGTCAGGTGTACCCTACTTGGGGACACATGCCCACTTGAAAAATTTTGAACTTTATTTATTAAATCTTCTCTAAGAAAAGGAAGGGTAATGCACAACTATTTTGTTCGGTTTTGTTTTGTTTTTATCAAGGCTGCAGGTCTACCGTTCTTAATTCTACTCAGGACCAAACAAGTTATCCATCAGCCTGGTTTTACCAGGCTTCCATTTTGACTAATGGATAGTCTATTTTATTTTTTAATTTATTTTTTGAGAAAAAAAGGGAAAAGAAGGTTTATTGTTTTGCTAACAAAGGAGAAACACAGGGAACTTCTGTCCCAAAGGATGTGATTCTTGGATAGTCTATTTTAAAAAAAGATGTTCGAAAGGTGGTATCGCACCATTAGGTTTGTACTGCCACAGAGGGTTTGGGGAATTTCCTGCGGCCTATGTGTAAATTTGGAGTCACAGGAAAGAACAAGGGAAGGCACAGGAAAAGCTGTGGTTATCCTCTATGCTGGAGTTGCCAAGGGGGGCAGGGGGTGGTGATGGTGTTAATGGGATCTTGCTGGACTGCATTAGGAGTACTTCCTTATCTTAACCGTTAGAAAAGTGTTGGGGTAGGTTTTAAGAACAAAGAATGGGTTTCTTTGTCTTTCCTTGGAGAATGTGAGAAAACTAAAAGAGATCTTTCTTCTGAGGGTCAGAAAATGATCTCTCTGGGTGCTGAGAGGCACACATTTCTCACTTTGAGAGCACAGCACCTGGTGTGTTTCTTAATTACTTCTTTGATCTAGGATCCTTTTTGGAGGTAGGAGTATGCTACTCTTCCTAAGGGTTAAGGCCAGAAAGGGGAAAAGTCAGACTCTGGTAGTCCAGAAGGAAAATCTGGGCTTTATCTATCTATTTATCTATCTATCTATTTATTTATTTTTGTGCATTGCAGATCACCCTCTTAGTGGGGAGCCAGGATCTACCCGTCAGAAAGAAAGACAGTGAGAGCTGGGTGTAGTGGCACACACCTGTAATCCCAGCAACAGAGGAGACTGAGGCAGAAGGATCACAAGTTCAAGGTCAGCCTCAGCAATTTAGTGAGGCCCAAAGCCCTCAGGAAGGTGACATTTAAAGAAAGATCTGAAGAAAGGAATAGAGTTAACTATTTGGTTATCTGAGGAAACATGTATTTCAGGCAGAGGAAGAGCAAGTTCAAAGGTGACTCTGAGACTACATTAGACAAGCAATTCATTGGTTCAATGTAGCTGAAAATTGAGAGGCTCCAGACTGACTTGAGGCATGGCCTCATAAAGGGATTGAGACACCATTATTTTCTCTGCTTTCTTCTCTGTGCTGGTTTAGTTCTTACATAGTTTGGTCTTTTGTGGCCATGAGATAGCTATAGCATTCATGGTTCTTACATCTTTGTACTACAAACTGTGAGGAGAGCTAAGGTCTTTGTTTCAGCATTATCAGCAAAAATCTCATTCTGCCTTTTTTTTTTTTTTTTTTTGCTCTGTTTGGGTCATTGCTTATTTCTGTACCAATCACTGTGGTCAGAGCAAATGCAGTGTACTGATTGTTTTATGTTTGTGTCACTTGCTTTACCAGAACAGCAGAGATGGAGAGAGTATGTATGTGTCTGCTTGGGTGAGGTGTGGGGGACAATAGAAGGCAGGGAGGGGAGGAGACCCCCTGAGGGATACTGGGGCACCCAGAGAAGGTTAAATGGATTCTTGGATTGTAAAATCAGTGAGAGTCTATCATACTGTGTTTTTAACTTGAAAGAGATCCTTGGTAGAACTAGAGCTGGCACACACTTGCTGGTAAGGGCCCTTTATCTCTGTTGAATCTGGTTTCTTTTTCTCTAAAATGAAGTGGTTGGTTTCATGACATTTAAAGTCATATCCTAATTTACACTGCTCAGTTTGACGAACTTTTAAAAGTCTTATATTTTAAAAAAACATCAGAATTATAAGTAAGTTCATTGAAGGAAAGTAAAGAATGGAGTATTTGCTTTTTATTATGGCTGCTGATAACTGGCATAAGGGCCTATATACATGCCATCTGATAGAAGGTTAAAACACAAGTCTTTTAGAAGCCAGTGTGATCAAGTCCAGATTCCTCCGCATTCTCATTTACTGTCTGCTTGATAAGCTATTGGAAGAGAGATACAAGCAAAGGGTGTGTATCAGGAGCTCTGCTGGATCAAAGTCCAGCTGTGGGTGGAGAGACACAACTCAGCTCAGGGAACATACTTAGGGTTTTCAATGTGCCTTTTTGTGTTGGCCTCCATGATATCATAATAACATGAACATACGCTCTCCTGAAGTTAGATGGTGCTTGGAATTCATCTCTTGGACTTACAGGACTGTGCAGTCCTTCTTAGTGGTAAATCTGTCCTGAAGTACATGGACATTCCCATAGGCAGAATCTGGAGACTTTTCTGACGCTGCCAACAAGAAGTGACTTTTATAAGAATGCTCCTTCTGCTTGATATCAGAGCTTAACATTTTATATTAAATTTTATGTTACGTTTCTAGACATACGTGTCTGATGCTTGGCCATGCGTACGAGAAAGGTGTCTCCTTCAAGCTTCCTGCATGATTTAGACAACGCTTATATGATGACCTCCACGTGTCAGGAACAGTGCTCTTAGGGAACCCTTAGCCTGTCTCTGTGAATCTTCCCTTAGAAATTTCCATGTGCTTCAGCACACAGTACAAAGACTGCATAGGACTTTGACTGTCCTTCTTATGGCTGATTCAGGGATTTATGCACTCTCGGCTTCTTAACTGAATTAAGATAAATTTTTATCCAGTCTCTCCACATCTTTGGGGTCCTATGAAGACCACTCACTTTTCTCCAGCAGTTTTTGTTTCACTTTAGAAAGCCAACTCTGCTGTCCCTCTTGGAAAGTCCCCACCCCACCCAAACATTCCCCTTATCATGGATTTGACATGGTTGATTCATCAGAGTAGTATTTGTCCCTGAAATATTTTTCTAAAATAAAATATACCTGATGGTTGATTATAATACACTCTGATGTCAAAGTGGTCCCATATGCCAAGTATTATCATATCCTCTCAGCCAATCAGTGTGAACCCAGTCAACTATTTCATACTTTCAGCTAATGAGAGCTATTCTGCTTTTCCTGAGTTAGGTGTGTCTGCAATGGGTGATGTTTCTTCTACTGTGGTTTCTCTTTCTGCCACTTATTTGTGTTCTTTTCATGACTAACAAAAAAGCAACAGCAGTAAAATTGCTGCAAAGGAAGAAAATCATTCATAATAGGGGTTAGAAAGTAATTCTTACCAAGAAAATGAGAGGAGAACCAACCACTGAATAGGAGAAAATATTCGCCAAAGACATAGCAGATAAAGATCTATTATCCAACATAGAAAGGGACTCTTAAAACTCAACATTTTAAGAAAACAAACAACCCAATTAAAAATTAAGCAAAAGTCCTGAAGACACCACGCCAAAGAAGATATGCAGGTGGAAGACAGGCATATGCTAAAATCATATGCCATCACAGAATTTCAAATTCAAATAACAATGAGATACCACCATACATCTACAAGTCTGGATAAAATCCAGAACACTGACATCATCAAGGGGTGCTGGTAAAAATGTGAACATCAGAAACTCTCATTCATTGCTAGTGGGAATGCAAAACAGGACAGCCACTTTGGAAGCATTTGACAAAAGTAAACATCCTCTTACCATATGATCTAGCAATGAACTCTACAGTCTACCCAAGGGGACTGAAATCCACACAACCTGCAAACAGATATTTACAACAGCTTATTTGTAATTGCCAAAATGTAAAAGCACCCAAGATATCCTGCCCTAAGTGAATGGCTAAATAAACTGTGATACATATAGAGAATTGAATATTATTTAATGCTAGAAACAAAAGTTCTATCAAGCCATGAAAAGGAGTTCTTATGCATTTATTTATTTTTATTTTTTTCCACATTCCAATGTATATTATTAAGTGAAAGAAACCAATGAAAAGATAATGAACTATAGGATTCCAAGTATATGGCACCTGCAAAAGGCAAAACCAATGGAGAAAGTAAAGAACAGTGGTTGCCAGAGGTTGGATGGTAATAAATACACAAAGCAGAGAGGATTTTTATGGCAGTGAAGTTTTTCTTGTGACACTGTAAATGTAGATAAATGCAATGATGCCCTGTCCAAACCTATAGAAGTTACAACACCAAGATTGAACTCAAATGTAAACTATGGACTTTGGATAATAATGATGTGTCAAAGGAGGACAGGTACACTACTCTGGTGGAATGGTGGGGAGGGCTGTGTGTGTGCTGCGGGGAGGCAAGCGCTCTCTGTGCCTCCTGATCAATTTTGCTATGATCCTAAAACTGCTCTAAAAATAAAGCTCATTTTAAAAATGCCAGTCTTACATTGAGGTGCTCTCATGCAGAAGCTCTTTGACATTATAAGGGACATCCTTTCCACAGCCTGGGAGGGGCCTAACATTCATTTCCATGGAAGTGAGAGGCAGGGTGACAAGGCATGCCTTTAGGGTCCTGATAAGCCCTGTGGTAGCCCCTGTTTAGGGCCATTTAGCTGGCAAGCCAGCTTGTCTGAACTTTCTCCTGTTTAGAGTCATGTACTTGTGCCCCTCACCCCGTGTCTATTTTGCAAAGACTGGGGAAGGAAACTGGAGAGGGACTAGCCCTCTTGAGTTTCTAAAAGGCCTTGTTTGTAGATAGTCCTCCTCCCTTATCAGAGCTGGGCAGTATCAAGGCCAGCCTTATCAGGGAGGACAGCTGACAACAGCTGAAGTTGTGTTTACCAGTATGGCTGCCACCCCGGCAGCAAGGGTTTGTCCCCTGCAGTGACCATCTCTGCCCCATTGTGACTAAGCAAGGACCTGGAATACCATACTGAGTGACTTTGGCTAACAATGACGGCAAGGCAATGGCCAACGTAAGATGATCGCACGTTGTTGCTATAGGTGGAACACTCTGTGTGTACATGGATTCTCTCCATCCTCAAAAGAAGAATTGCTAGCAGTACTTTCTGTATGTCAGGCATTGTTCTCTGAGCTTGAGGCATGCTATACTAATTAAATCATGATGAGAACCTAATGAGATGGTACCATTGTCTTTCCTGTTTTATAGATGAGGAACCTGAGGCTTAGAGAAACAGCAACCTGCTTCATATCACACAGCTGCTAAGCAGTGTAGGGAATAATTAAACTCAAGGTTAGCATGACTCCAGAATAGTCCTTTAATCATAGTTGTGCAGAATCGATCTATTGTAATTTTATTTAGCTCCAAGATAATTTGCAAAAATAAATTGCGTATAGAAATCCATCACAGCCACCGTGAATACAAATTCCCTCCCTTGTCCTTAGTGTGCCATATGTTCTTGGCTAATGAGAAATAGCCAATTAACTGTATCATTCACTCTGAATCAATTCAAGTGATTGCTTCCAATGATGACGATGATTGTTGAAGCCTAGAAAAGAAAGCACAAGGCAATGTTAGAGAAGTGGCAAGAGAAGTGGGGTGACCATCAGAAAGATTTTACAGGTTGCCATAAACTTGGAGAGTTTTCCCAGTGCAAGAACTGGCCTACAGTTTGCAGAAACCTGATCTGGTCAGCCCATTGGAATATTCATTTTCTCTATGATGGGCTCCTAAAAACTCCTTTAAAACCCAGAACATCAGTTTATCAATATGCAAGGAAAATTATAACTGTCAGGGGAAACAGGCCCTCTCATCATTGGGTCAGAGTATGATCTTCCTGCTTTGCAGAAAGTCAAATTACAACTATAATTAAGTTGCTGGATGAATATGGGATTGGACCAAGGGAACTCTCTTCTATAATGCAAATATTTAAAGGTCATAATAGTTGGATACATTCCATTTCACTGCAAGGAGAAATGCCTCACCGAAGAGCAGCTAGCATGAATCTTTGGGCTTGAGTCACATATTGGCCAGTATACTCTCAGCCCTGAGTAGAGCTTGCCCCCGTGAATTATTTAGATGTGAATGACAGAAAAATCCCAAACAAAATAAATGCTTATTTATTTTTTTAAAATGTCTTTGCATTTATATTAGATAACTACACATTTTGGATACACAAATAGCATTAAAAAATATCTGTTTCTCAGGTCATTTTCAGCATTACTGAGCTAGAAATTACAAATAAAAATTTTGTGTATTTAAGGTATACAACTTGATATTTTGATGAATTATGCATTGATAAATAATCAGCACAATCAAGTTAATTAAAATAGCCACCACCACACAGTTACTATTTTATTTTTGTGGGTGTGAGAACATTGAAGATATACTGAAATGGATCACATTTTTTTTCCTTTTTTTAAATGCCATTATACATGTACTTTTTTTGCATTACAATTCTTAATATACATATATACCACAAATTTTCATATCTCTGTTTGTATATATAAAGTATGTTGACACCGAATTCAAGTCTTCATACATGTACTTTGTATAATGATGACCATCACATTCCACCATCCTTGCTAATCCCCTTCCCCCTCCCTTTCCCTCCCATCCCTCTTCCCTACCTAGAATTAATCTAATCATCCGATGCTCCCTCTCCCTATCCCACTATGAGTCACCCTCCTTATATCAGAGAAAACATTCTGCATTTGTTTTTTTGGAATTGGCTGACTTCACTTAGCATTATCTTCTCCAACTCCATCCATTTACTTGCAAATGCCATGATTTTGTTCTTTTTAATGCTTAATAATATTCCATTGTGTATAAATGCTACATTTTTTTTTTATGCATTCATCCACTGAAGGACATCTAGGTTGGCTCCACAGTTTAGCTATTGTGAACTGTGCTGCTATAAACATTGATGTGGCTGCATCCCTGTAGTATGCTGTTTTTAGATCCTTTGGGTATAGTCCGAGAAGAGAAATAGCTGGGTCAAATGGTGGTTCCATTCCCAGATTTCCAAGGAATCTCCATATTGCTTTCCAAATTGGCTGCACCAATTTGCAGTCCCACCAGCAATGATCCTTGGTCCTTTTGATTGATTGATTGATTTTTTTAAATTTTTAGACTGGGTACAGTTAAGTTGACTTAAACTTCTGCCTCAGCCTCCCAGTTGCTGGGATTGCAGATGTGTGCCACCAAGCCTAGCATAGTCCAGAATCAAATTCCAAGGCTCCTTGCAAATAAATCTGGAAAATTAAGACTATCCTGCATAGCCAAATGTGCTGCCAAAAATCAGGGACAGCTGGGCATGGTAGCACATACCTGTAATCACAGCAACTTGGGAGGCTAAGGCTAGAGGCTCACAAATTTGAGGCCAGCCTTAGCAACTTAGTGAGACCCTGTGACAAAGTAAAAAAATAACTCAATGGTAAAGTGCCCCTGGGCTAAATCCCCTACCCTGCTCCCCCCAAAAAATATCAGGGACAAAGTGGGTAATGGATATTGGGTGAGAAGTAAAGATTCACCATCTAAAACTGTTCTCTCAGGGCTCTGACCCCAGCCCTCATCGTGTCAGGGAGGAGAGGTGCGATCCTAAGGATCCTAACCATGAACGTGACGCAGCCGATCTGCTGATACCTTCTACATTATGCTGATCACTTTGGAGGTGATCTCTGCAGCCACTAAAGCTGAATTGAGAGGAAAGTCCTGGAGTCTAGGTTCTGCCATCTCATGATGCTATTTTTCCACACTTCTGACCTAATAAGGAAAAGTGCATTATTAATTGTGTTCATTAAAAGTCCCCCATTTGAGAATTAAGGTCTCTGTCCTGGAGACTTATACCCAACCCTTCCCATTTGCTTTGTGCCACCTCATAATATGACGAGTGAAAAATCTTGCACCAACAGCTCCAGCTGCTGTACCTTGGGTTCTTCTCCCACTTGTGATGCTCCAGGAGTTCTGAATGTGAACTGTGTGGCTTTCTGTACTTGTTTGGAGGACATAGGATGCCTAGCAGTCTGCACAAATAACATAGAATTATTTTCTGTCCTCTACATCTTTTTTTCCCTGCATCTACTCCTTTTCTATATTCACTCTGTACAGTATATTCTTTCCTGTGTATTGAAATGCTTCTGATCAGTTAAGCCCAGTCTGCTGGCCTGAGCATTCTCTATTCCAGTTCTTCAAGGGCCACTTTTTTCTCCTTTTCACTTTATTTTGAACTATATGATGATACTCTGTTTATAACAGAAAAACACATTTATTAAAGAAGAATATTAGAGAAAATACTGCCTTAGATTTGAATGCCTCACCAGCAAGATAGTTAGGCTTTTCCATTTCTTTTCTTTACCTTCGTTTAGTATTGACATAATACTTAAGGAATATATGATGTTGCATGAACAGAATTTATGCAATAAAGAACTACTTAAAAAATTGTGTCTTTGGACATAGCAGTACCCAAGGAGCATAAAATACTTTATTTTTTGACATGGAAGAAATAAAATTTGCTTTTAAAGTATTCTTCTGTCCAAATGAAAGCTTTTTATATTTCAAGAATTTCACTGTACAAGAGGAAGTGAGGGGAAAGGGAAAAATAATACAAGGGGGAGAAATGAATGACAGTAGAGGGGGTAGAGAGAGAAGAGGGGAGGGGAGGGGAGGGGAGGGGGGATAGTAGAGGATAGGAAAGGCAGCAGAACACAAAAGACACTAGTATGGCAATATGTAAATCAGTGGATGTGTAACTGATGCGATTCTGCAATCTGTATATGGGGTAAAAATGGGAGTTCATAACCCACTTGAATCAAAGTGTGAAATATGATATATCAAGAACTATGTAATGTTTTGAACAACCAACAATAAAAAATTAAAAAAAAAAAGAAAGAATTTCACTGTGTACTACAGCAGGAAATGAAAAGCTACCGGAGGAACTGAAGGAAAAAAAAAAAAAGACAACAACTATGGGACTGGAAAGGAATTAATATTAGCAAATGAAGTGCTTTTCTCTGATCCCTCTTTCTGCAAGTTACACCGTCTGCTTTGGAAACACTGAATTTCCCTTATTGCTACACGACTTCATCTAGCAATAGTGCATTGAGAAGAATAAATTACAATAGTTTTAAAGAAGAATGAAGAGGAAATATCATAACAATAAAAGGAAGAATCACCTCTGCCAATAATAAATTTTGTACTTGTTGACTGAAAGAATGTTCCATTCTCAGCTAGATCTCACTGAAATCTACCTTTGATGGAAACAAGTAAGTACTGTTTCAAAGCTAACCACATTTCTGAGACTACATAGCTCCTCTTCTTTAAAAAAAAAAATGCCCAGAAATGGGGACATTTTACTATGTAACTAAAAATGCCAAATCAGAATGCCTGATAATTTATTGTCTTTAAATCTGATTTTTTTTAAAAAAACCAAGAATTTCTAGTGAGATATCTGATCTCAGGAATTTAATCTTCTTTAAAAAACAAAATCAAATTTAGACACATAACTAGCACTCTTCTAAGTGGAATAAATGTCATTTAAATCCATCTCGGCCTGTTCTTTCATAGATGTACCAAGTGCTTTCTTTAGCTTTATTCTATTTGCTTTCTCCTTGAGTCAGTCCTGTTTTCATTTGCCATCTGAGCTAGATTGGACTTGTGGTCTCTAATTGGAGCATAAGCTTCTTATCTCTCCATCCCAAATCACTCCAGGCATGATTGCCAGAATGCCTCTCTTCAACCACCAGGGTATTTTATATAATAGGCTTCATGGTTTGACCCAGGTTTCCTTTCCAGCTACTCTTCCTACCACTCCCCACCCTGTTCCCTAGGACCAGCCCTACCACGTTACTTGCTGTCCCACCCCAGGTTACTTGCATTCCCACCTTGGTGCCACTGCACAGCTGCTTAGAGCCCTCCTAGTCCCTACAGAATTCCTTCCACCCTTCAGTCTCAAAGTCAGCTTCCCTGCATCCTGTAGACTCTGCCTTGGGAATCGTCCCTTGTTCTCAGTGTCATCTGCACACATTTCAGTTCATTTTAAAAATTCTCCAATTTAATTCATACTTTGAACCCTATTCAACCTCTTAGGACCTCGGCTCTGGTGGATCAGGATATTTTTCCTACCTTTCCTCTGGGATTATGTTTAAACTTATGCCATTTGGACCATTGATCTAGACTGGTGGCTGTAACATCACTTTCATCACAGGTCCTCAGATTCAGCAAACCTCCCAGCTTTGTCGTCTTTTTGGGCCTCTGACAATTTATATTCCCAGTTTACGTTGGGAAACGGGGAAGTTCAGGATACTAAGACCCTGCTCTGTCGAGAATGCTCTTAGGCATATAAGATCATTCTGTTAGCTCAGCAAGGCTGTCTGAGCCCTGTCCCCTGGGATACAGCATGCTGACATTTCTTCCTTGGTGTGTGGATGCTCCTCCAGGATTCCATGGAAGAAGGGAAGTATAGGTTCCCTGTTTTTGGAGACCTCCATTTTACTTAGGGTCTTGGCATTCTGCCTTTCCCTGCTCACAGCCCCTTCTGACCTACCTGGCTGCTCTAAGTTCTTCTCTGTCCTGACTTTTCTTTCTCCCTGCATGCTGAGGAAATATTATGCAGTGGATGGTGACATGGGTGGAAGGTGGGAGGAGGCCTATGAGAAGACTTACTTTAACCCCATCCTGTTGTCTCTGAGTTCCCAGGGAGTAGGCTTTTGAAACTCAAAAACTTTCAGTCTATCTTTTGCTATAATATCCTTTTGGCAAAGATTCCCACGATACTGAAATTATGCCAAAACATGGAGTTCTAAATAAGAAATGGTGCTAAATGTTTCAAAATGTCATTCTACTATGATAGTGCTTTCTTTTTTTTGTTTTAAAATAGATTTATTGAATGATATTGACAAAATTGTATTGTGATATTGTGTGCATATATATTCCACCATTATGTACAAATATAATGCACCCATACAAATGTGGAAAAATTAGATTAAAAAAATCTTTCTCCTTCACTAGGCTGTGAGCTAATACTTTTCTTTTGTTAACTCTAAATCATGATAGAACTCTAGAGAAAAGATGGAGGAAGGACCCTGATTTACCTGAATGCAGGTATCTCCCAATATGTACAATGAAGGGTCAGAAGGTGAATTAAATTGAGTAATAGAAAAAAATTATATGAGCTGAAATATGTACCGATGGCATCAAATAAGGGTATGTCTAGGGCCCCAGGATGTTAGTGCAGAGAGGAGAGTAGAATCTCAACCTCTGATAAGTGAACTCATCAGTTATATGATTAATGCTACCAGTTTTCATTTAGCTAGTGCCTACCATCTACCAGGTGCAAGTCAATTTGCTCAATCATTTTACAAAGGAGTCATTGTTTCCCCTACATAGACTTGAAGAAAGCAACAGAGACTTCCAACATCATTCTAACACAGGTTATAGCTGTTTGATCCCAAATTCTTAGTACTTCCCTCTGCTCAGATTGTGAAATCAATTTTGTTTAACTTATGACATGATTATGGGTTCAAGATCCAGTGTGAGATGTGTGTGTGTGTGTGTATGTGTGTGTGTGCATGTGTGTATACAGTCAGTCCTCCAGATCCCTGAACTTGATATCTGTACATTCAATGAACACTGAATCAAAACTATTCAGAAAAAAAAATTGTGTCTAATAACATAGGCTTTTTCCTTGTCATTACATTATTTCTAAACAATACAGTATAATAACTATTTGCATAGCACATTATATTAGGTATTGTAAGTGACATAGAGATGAATTAAGGTATATCAGAGGATGTGCAAGGGTTGTATGTAGACACTGTACCATTTTTTATAAAGGACTTGTGCATCCTCGGATTTTGTATTTTCAACCGCCTTGGTGTGTGTGTGTGTGTGTGTGTGTGTTGAGAGAGAGAGAGAGAGAAAGAGACCTTTGCTCTATGGGGAATTAAATGTGTTTTTCAACCATCAGAAAGGAAAGAGTTCAAATATGGTTCCTTGCCCTGGTATGCGTAGCATTTTGGTGAAGTCATTCTCTGAGAAGCTTATTGATTCATCTAATATTTACTACCTCACTTATTACTAAAAGCAGGGTGCAGTCTCACCATTTACACTTGGGATCTTGGTATGTTTTAGCCAAATGTTTAATTTATCATTTAGGCCATTTAGGCGTTGTTGGGAATGAAGAAAAAATGTGTGAATTATGTGGAGATAAATGTTTGCTTTCTGCACTGCCTGGCAAGATGGCGGCAGTATTTTTTTTTTTCACAAATAAAATATGTAATTGTGTGGATATTTCAAGCAGCTTGTTTATATTTTCCCCCAGGGTTTAACTTTCTTAGATGTCTAAAATACTCTGAGGGGAGGGAGGGAATGCTATAAATTTTTACAATCAGACATTGTCCCTGTTTCCCAGGCAAATTCAATGCACCTTCTGTTGAGTAATTGGAATCCAAGAAGTAACATGGAGTGTTTTAACAAAACATGAGTGAATGGTATTTATAGCAGACTGTCAGAGGTTTGGAAACTCAAACTATTTATGTGAGAAAAAGTGATAAAAAGATACAATGAGAGATCAGAGTATATTGACTCCGTTGCAGAACCTGGCATTCAACACACAGGTTAACGTGAGTAAATATTTCCAGAGGACTATCCCCACACCCTGTCTATTTCTGGAGGAGAGTATCACTGAAATTTGCTACTAATGCCCTTTCTTCTATATGGGGGGAACATGGTGGTGGTAAACTGCATCATTAGAAATGCACCTTAAAAAGTATAGCTCAGGGGCTGGGGTTGTGGCTCAGTGGTAGAGTGCTCACCTTGCATGTGCAAGGCTATGGGTTTGATCCTCAGCACCACATAAAAATAAATAAAATAAAGGTATTGTGTCCAACTACAATTAAAAATAAATATTAAAAAAAGTATAGCTCAGAGTGGTATCATATTTTTTTATTTCTAATTTGGATTAATTTTTATAGGAAAAAGCCATTTGATGAGTTGTGAGTGAGCCTCAGATTGGGTCATTTGTGTACTAATACCCCCTTTTATAAAAGGCAGTGTGTCTACATATGTTTGTCTGCATGGTGTGTGTGTGTGTGTGAGTGTGTGCACACATGCACAAATATGTCCTTAGGACATCTGAGCTCCTAGTGTTTGATAAATGTAGTAACTCCACACTCCAGGTCACCACACTGCACAGTGTCAAGAGCCCAAGTCTCTCATAGTCTTGCTATGAGGACCAGGTGGGTGAGGCCGGACTGTGCAGAGAGGAATGAGGAAGAGGAAAGGGCAGATCATGGTTTACAAAGCTCTGTGAACTCTCCATCACCCCTCACATTTATTCTTAAAGCAGTGCTTGATGAAGATTTGCTCATATGAAAACATAAAAATGCCTGTTTCCCTCACCTCTTCCCAGGTATTTGTTTTAATTTTCCATTGTGTAGATTGGTTTTAATTTCTTTTAATATTTTCAGGTTGCTTTTTCTTTCATGTGAGACTTGTGTTTTCTTTCTTTTTCTTCTTCTTTTTTTTTTTTTTTTTTTTTTAGAGACAGGGTTTCACTGAGTTGCTTAGGGCCTCATCATTGCTGAGGCTGGCTTTGAACTTGTCATCCTCCTGCCTCAACCTCCTCAGTTGGGGGATTATAGGCATGCACCACTATGCTGGGCTTCTTCTTCTTCTTCTTCCTCTTCCTCTTCCTCTTCTTCTTCTTCTTCTTCTTCTTCTTCTTCTTCTTCTTTTGGAGGGGGGGGGCAACTGAACAGCCAAAATGTCTATGTCTTTATCCCTAAAACCTGCAAAAGTGAGATTGTGTATTCTTATGTGGCAAAAGGGATTTGACGATGTGATTAATTTTAAGGACCTTGAAACAGGAATTGTTTAGGTGAATTCATCAACAATAGGCATCTGTATTTGCTCATATGAAAATATAAGCAAATACAGAGCCTGCCTATGCTATCTGAGAGACAAGTGTGAGAGCAGAAGCAGGGATGGAGAGATGCTATATATCGCTGGCTTTGAAGATAGAGGGAGGCTACAAACTAAGGATTATGGGTAACTTCTATAACTTGAAAAGGCAAGATTTTTTTTTTTTTCCCCTAGAACCCTACAGAAAGGAGTCTAGCCCGGCTCATTCCTTGATTTTAGCCTAGTGAGACCTGTGTCAGTCTTCTGACCTGAATACTGTAAGATGATAAATTTGTGTTGACAAGGTGGTAAGAGGGTAAACTAAGTTTGTGCTAATTTGTTATGACAGCAATAGATAATAAATATAGTCCTGCTGTTAAAACTGTTAAAAGAATTTAAAGCTATATCACTTACATTAGTATACAAATTTATTTATTTTTTTAGTTGTTGATGGGCCTTTGTTTTATTTATTTATATGTGGTGCTGAGAATCGAACCTAGTGCCTCACACATGTGAGGCCAGCACTGTACCACTGAACCATGACCCCAGCACATAAAATTGTTTTTAAAATATTTTTTTAGTTGTTGATGGACCTTTATTTTATTCATTTATTTATATGGAGTGCTGAGAATTGAATCCAGTGCCTCATACATGTAAATCAAATGCTCTACTTCTGAGCCACGACCCCAGCCCTATACAAAATATTTTAAAATTTTATATAATGCATGATTCTTGAGAAGGTGCCTATGGATCTTTAGTGTTCTTGAGTCCCAGAATGGGAAACTTTTTTTATGTTTACATTTAAAAAGAAGTAGACTGGAGGGCCCATAGATTGTTTTCAGGGCGGGGGGGTTTGTTGGGGTGAACTTGTAAGTTCCTTAATTGCTTCAATTTTGTTTTGAAGCAATTCATTAAGGAAACAGGTATCTTTTTGTGAAACAGATATCATTTTGCAAAACAAGTATCTTTTCCCATGGGCCCAACCACTTTCCTTTATAGAGATTTAAACTCATCACCCCTCAGTACTTGGGTTATCAGTAGTAGCCTCTCTATGATACATATTTTGCAATGCATTCTGTAATCACAAGAACTTATGTCTTTCTTTCATAATTTAGGATTTTCCTGTTTAGGAGTAAAAGAGCAGATTGGTTTATTTGCAGTGAGATTCTTCTATCTAATAAAAATGTAGCTAGTTTTTCTTAGTAATACTTTGAACTGTAGCTATGTTATCTCTTGGAATATTTCACTTGTATCATGTGGAAAAATATGCATCTCATTCATACAGTGTTATTTGTCTTCTGCCCATCTAAATTCATTGATAATAAAAAAAAAACGAGAGAGAGATTGAGAGAAAGACTATATAATAGGTCAAGAAAGGATCTTGAGAGGTCATCTCTTTCATTAGAAAGGACTGTATCTACAGAATTCTGAACAGATAAATATATATCCTAGGGATGGAAATGGAATTTTTCTCCCCCTAAGGGAGCCTTAAATATATTTCAGTTATCTCATTTGCATGAGTCATTTACATTGATTTCCATGAGCCATTCCTAGGTCTGTATTCTTCATATAACCCTTGACTTAACAAAACCCTTCTCCCTCTCTTTCTCTCTCTCTTCCTCTTATTTATTATTCATTTGATTCATATCAAGGGCCTATGCTGGGAATGGTTCCATGCAAGGCATTATGAGAATCTCTGAGAAATAAAGCACACAGCCCTATTCCAAAGAAATGACAGTCTCTTGGGGAAGCCACAGTGTGGACCTAAGTCCTAAATGACTACGCAAGAAGTGTTTATGAGACACCACATAATGATGGGTTAATGAAGGATGATAACAATAGATAAAGTGTGAACAATGGTGATGACGGAATAGACAACTGTCAAGGACCTACTCTATCTAAGGCCCCTGTGTAGGTTATCTCTTAATTCTCAGCAAACTTTTGAAAGGGATATCTCTATCCCTGTTTATAAAATTACAAAATGGAGCTTAGTAATCAAATGGGCTCAGATTCTTCTGAGCCTAAACCCCTGCTCCTTGCATTGGGCCACACTGTCTTTGACAGGCTATCATGGAAGGAAACACTCTGTGAACTGAAATGTTCTGGAAGGACTTAGCCATGCTTAGATCCATTCATTGAGCATTTTCTCTGTTCCAGGTTCATCCTCCCGTACTATAAAATGAGGAAATGGAGCTACAGGGAGGCTAATTTGCCTGAGGACACATGTTAAGTTACGGGTAGAGCCAGATTATGGATTCACATGGTCTCATTCCAGTGCAACACTGCCTCCTTGGTACTGTGTGGCCAACAGGGTTATAATACTGAGTGGCATAAGAAGAGCTTCTCAGCCATTACAGAAAAACATGGAGAGAAAACAGTAAGTGATACCACAAAGTATAACTATTCTGATTGAGGAAGTAGCATGCTGTGGGAATACAGAAAAAGGGTTTCTAACTCAGACAAGAAAGAACCTGGACTTGCTTCTCTAAGGAATGACCCAAACCTGTGGGGCATTTTGAGATGACAGCCAGGTGAAAAAGAAAAGAGCCTGAGCAATTGGGTGGCAAAATGGTAGCTATACCTTAATTTGGTGGTGGGTTCAGGAATTGGCTAATTTCTTTTATTACCCATTCAAGATACCCACTGGTTATCCCTTAACTTCACTGAGATCTTGAGTCAGTTGGCACGTTCTTATTGAGGTCTTTCCTAACAAGTTTATTTAAAATGACACCACCAATTTCTCTTCAAGACATCTTTATTCTCCACGATATCTAACTGACCACATTATTTATTTATTGTTTTTTAATCGCCTATTTGCTTCATAGCATAGTTTTTTAAAAATTTGTTTGTTTGTTTTTGTTTCCTGTTTTGTCTTCTGTATCTCAAGCACCTGGGACAGCACTGACAGTGTGGTGGCCACTCTGTGAATACTTGCTGAGCGAGTAATGAATGGAGTGATTCACCTCTCCACAGACTCCTGACTTCTTGACTGCTGTCCCATGTGAATCAGGAGCTCTCACTGGGACTTACCAAAGTTCTGACTCCATCATGCTCTACTGCAGAGGTTCTGGGAGCCCTCAGGCCATGTGAGAGCCCTCACACCTCTTAAAAGACTTTTCTTCATCACCCTAAACTCTAAAGAGTTGTAGCCAACTTTTGGGGGCAGAGGATCTTAGCTTTAGTTTCCACCTATCACCAGCATGTTGGCAAACTTTTTTCCTTGACCAAATTTTATTTATTTTTTATTTTTTATTTTTTTAAAATTTTTTATTATTAGTTGTTCAAAACATTACATAGCTCTTGACATATCATATTTCATACATTTGATTCAAGTGGGTTATGAACTCCCATTTTTACCCCGTATACAGATTGTAGAATCACATCGGTTACACATCCACGTTTTTACATACTGCCATACTAGTGTCTGTTGTATTCTGCTGCCCTTCCTATCCTCTACTATCCCCCCTCCCCTCCCCTCCCCTCCCATCTTCTCTCTCTACCCCATCTACTGTAATTCATTTCTCTCCCTTGTTTTTTTTCCCTTTCCCCTCACTTCCTCTTATATGTAATTTTGTATAACAATGAGGGTCTCCTTCTATTTCCATGCAATTTCCCTTCTCTCTCCCTTTCCCTCCCACCTCTCATCCCTGTTTAATGTTAATCTTCTTCTCATGCTCTTCCTCCCTGCTCTGTTCTTAGTTGCTCTCCTTATATCAAAGAAGACATTTGGCATTTGTTTTTTAGGGATTGGCTAGCTTCACTTAGCATAATCTGCTCTAATGCCATCCATTTCCCTGCAAATGCCATGATTTTGTCATTTTTTAGTGAAAAGTAATACTTCATTGTGTATAAATGCCACATTTTTTTTATCCATTCTTCTATTGAAGGGCATCTAGGTTGGTTCCACAGTCTAGCTATTGTGAATTGTGCTGCTATGAACATCGATGTAGCAGTATCCCTATAGTACTCTCTTTTAAGGTCTTCAGGGAATAGTCCGAGAAGGGGAATAGCTGGGTCAAATGGTGGTTCCATTCCCAACTTTCCAAGGAATCTCCACACTGCTTTCCAAATTGGCTGCACCAATTTGCAGTCCCACCAGCAATGTACAAGTGTACCCTTTTCCCCACATCCTCGCCAGCACTTGTTGTTGTTTGACTTCATAATGGCTGCCAATCTTACTGGAGTGAGATGGTATCTTAGGGTGGTTTTGATTTGCATTTCTCTGACTGCTAGAGATGGTGAACATTTTTTGACCAAATTTTAGTTAGGCTCCTTTGAACCCTCTGCTTGCTTGGCCTCAACCTTGGCCTGTTGTATCCAGTTTCAGGATAATGTATGTAATTTGGAATTACATACGTACATGTATGTAATTTCCAAATTATGTAATTTGTAATATTAATCCTGCCACGTCACTTTAGCAAGAATCCCCCACTCTTAGTAATCTTTGTCTACTGACTTCCTTACTCTTTTTCTTGGCTATAAAATTCCTAACTATCTTTGTTGTATTGGAAGTTAAATCCAATCTCAATCCCCAATTGCAGTAGTCCTGAAAAACGTCTCCTTTGCTGCTTTTATCAAATGTCCTGTGCTATTTTTTTTTTAAACAGCATTCTCTTGGATTTCTTCTTTCTTTTGAAAAAGTTTATTTCTAGATCTTTTTGTCCAGTCAGTCCTTTGGGCTCACCCCTGTGGTACATTCTTCTGCCATGGTGTTTGTTATGTCAACATTGAACAATGTACTTTACTTTCTCTTAAACTAGTAAGACCTTTGGCACTTTGTTAACTAAACATATTTAAGTCCACTAGAAAGGTTTAATATATCATAGCCACAAGATATATCCTATGTTGTCTCAGTTTGTAAGCTTATATTATTTTCTCAGTCCATTTTACAAACATAAGTTGGAAGTTGGTCCTTTGCTTCTCTTTTTAAATCTAAATTAGAGGTGGTGAAACAAGGGATATTGCCTACTCCCTAAGATTGTTATTGCAAAGGAATATAAAGACACTGGAGGTAGGAGAAATTCAGAGGGGGGGGCGGGGGAAGAGATGGAGTACTGAATAGAATGAGCATATTAGGAGTCTGACCAAGAATCTGCAGAACAAGATGGTTGCTCCAACCGTCCCTCATGGAGATGTCAAAGAGATTTGGAATTCTGTTGTTCTGGTGAGGTGCTACTAATGTGAAAAGAGTTTGATCATGGTTATCAGGGGACTTTGGAAACAGGTTTTGGATTCACTGACTAATGGGTAAAGTCTGTCCATGTAGTACTGTGATGGTCCTTCTGCCAGGAGAGAAAATGTATACCATCTCAGAACTGGAAAGAACACTTCAGGTAGATATCAATGATTTTGCCTGCCTGACGTTATTGGACCAGGATTTTGTACAATGATGGCCATGCCTAGAAGAGGCCAAGAAGACCAAGATCAGAGTAGATACATGCTCCTAGCTATCACTTCCATGCTAACCTCATTCCAGTCCTTGGACGCAGGCAAGCTTTATTTGAAATTTCCTGGCTGCAGAAGCAACGACTTAAGGTTCTTTTTAGATGGTCTTTTTTCCCCTTCAGTATCAATTGAGAGGAAAAAAAAAAGAGTCTTTCCATCAGTTGGGTATTTCCTTGATATTTGAGCAGACAATTAACATGAAATTCCTGAATGCCAAATATGTAATTTGGAATAAGATATTAAAGAGGATTTCAACAGTGTCATAACTGTTGAATTTCAGTGTAACTATTTCCATGTGTTCCTACTGATGAATCAACCTATATTCATTTGTTTCATTAAAAGCATTTTTTTTCTTTTCACAGTTGTGTTGTTTTTGTATTACATTTGTGTTTCTCCTCATCATACCACATAAAATCTCCTATTTCCCAAGAGAGCTCATGAATGAGAAAAAAGAGGGTGCAAAGCCAAGAAGGGTTGAATACAGTCAGTTGGACACAGCGCCAGGACTCTCCTCCCGGGAAGGGCTAGCAAGGGTGGAGTGCACAGTAGGAGCAAAAAGTTGCTGAATCACACAGGCGCTTTTGTTCCCACACTGGGATAAGAAAAATCTCGGCAGAGAGAAGAAAGTTTGTTTGCGAGTCTTTTCCAGGGTCACCGGGATGTCTAAACCACTCCCTGTAGTGGTTTACACTCACAGCAACATGACATCTGGCAACTCGACTCTTAAAAATTCTTCTCTTTGACTCCTGCCATGACTGCTTCATCCAGAGCATTTCACGAATGGTTTGTCGATGGTTCAGAAACAGATGTGTAAAAACGTTTGGAATAAGGTAACTTCTAGAATTAGTGAGTTCCATATATTTATCGAATGCCCATTATGTACTAGGCAATTTTTTTTTTTTTTTTAGGCATAAGGATTGATTTATGAGTCCCTGCTCCATGGAGCTTACAACCTAGTAGAAGCTGAGAAGTGGAGAAGACAGACATTCATCAAAGAAGCCAATAAACAAATTTGATGATTTCTGGTGGTATTTACAAAGAAATAGATCTGGAATTATGTCTGAGAAAGATGAAGGTAAGGTGAAGGGGGAATATTCTGGAAGAAGGGCCGGAATGTACAAAAAAAAAAAAAAAAGAAGAAGCATTTGAGAATGCTCTTGTGAATCATGGCAAAAGTTCTGACATCACCAGGAAGGCAGAAGCCTCTAGTCAGCTGGTGTTTCAAAACTAGGGAAACACCAGGCCCCAGGCAGCTTTCCCCTAATTAAGGAAAAAGAGTGGCAATTTGCCTTGTGTCTTCTATTGTCATCTTTGTCTCTACCCACCATCTCTGTCTCTACCCACTTTTTGAACCATCTCATCTTTAGGGGAAGCTACATGCACAGTCCCCACAAAAAAAAAAAAAAGCCTAATAAAAGCCTTTGAAAAACTCCTGTAAATCGCTCTAGAAATAACACCATCATTACAATAAAGAGAAAAAAAAATGCTGCACCTGGATAAATTTTCGTACATTAATTCAGTGATTCTGTTCTGGGAGTGGTTTTGCTCCCCTCCTCCTTCTTCCTAGCGGGTGGTTGGCAATTTTATCTGGAGACAATTTTGATTGCCACAACACGGGGGATGAGGAATTTAATGAGTAGAGGTCAGAACTACTGCTAAACATGCGACAGGGCACAGGACCGACCGACTCCCACAAAAAGAATTATCTAGACCCACATTACATGTTGAATCAAGGCTCTTTTAAGTTTTCTTACCACCATCAGTCCCCAATATTGCAAGGTACAGAGTGGGTTCAGACTTTCTGGAGCTTGCTAATCTCCCGAATCTATTACTGCGCGTTTCAAATCTCAGTTCTCTGACTGAAGGTGGGGGTGGGACGATAGGTATGTTCCTTAACAATCAGTGTCTTCATTTCCTGATCTGTAAAATGGAAGTAATCATAGCTCAACCTCATAAAGTTATATTGAGGAAAATGTAAAACATTTGCTTATTAATAGAGTATGCTAGACAATGATCACTCAATAGATGTTTAATATTAATGCTTTCTGTTGCTGTGGCCTGCTTTCTGGAGTATAATTGGCACAGATCAAAGGAGCAGGTGGAGGTGACCTACATTAGCATACCCTGTCCCCCCAGTTCAGCCAGGCATCCTGCTGGGGGATGTGGAGATGGCTGTCAAATGTGGAGAGGGTAAACATTGTAGAAGTTCTCTCCGTGGGTGCAGCCACATAATGACCAGAAAAGCAGCAGAAACATATGTTATTTGCTTGAAGGAAGGGCTAATGTTTTGAGGATTCACTAAAGTATTTTGGCTATTTGAATGTGTCATTGCGTCCTTAACTGCTGACTACTGAGCATTGTTCAAACTGCATTTGAGGCATCTTTGATACCTTCTAGAAGGCTAATTAAGCTGCTTAGAGACAAACTTCGAAGGAGGTGTGAACATTACTGGGTGAGAAGAATATTTGAACCTGGGTGTGTTCAGTAGCAGAGGACCTCCAGGTGTCCTTATGAGAGGTATGCTTAGTATGACTAGCCAAGAGGTAAGTCTCTTCTTTGAACCGAGCCTGTTAAGTGGCAGAAGTCATCCCCCATGGCAACAGTTTCCAGGGGATCTTTCCAGAACTGCAAAGAGGCTCTGATTTTGTTATTGACAGATCCAGATCCTCCGTTTTTATTAACATTGTGCTCATATTGTATTTTTTTTCCTGCAATTTGTCATAGTTAGAAAGAAAGAAATCCTCTGCATTCTGATACTTTTCTTAGATTCCTGCCATCTTTGCAGAGCTTATTGATATGGATCAGTTGAAGTCCCATTGTGGTATTGAACTTCTCACTCCCTGATTGGAGTAATTTAAGAGCCTCAACGTTTGTAGGAAAATTTCCTGAGGAAACTGACCAGAGATATGAACATAAATTGTCATTTGTTTATAATCAAATTCATTCCTCTTTAATACATTTTGTATTGGAAGCTGCCAAATCTAGCCTCAGCTTTCTGTTCCGCCTGCAACCTGGACACAGAAGCATCCCATTCATACATCCCTTCTAGTGATAGATTCCTCGCCAGGAACTCCCAGAGTGCACTGCCATCTGCTCAGCTCTCAGTGGCTCGAACCCACCCTGCTTCCTAAATTAATGCTAAAAGCCATTTTCTGAAGTCTTTTAGGCCACTGCTAACTCCAGCCTCATTTCAGGTATCAGGATCCATCCACTATTCTCTAAGAAGAAACAACAGCAACAAAGCCAGGAAATCAAACCTACCTATGTAAGTGGATGGCCCAAATCAGCCGTTTTTTTTTTTTTTTTTTTCCTTAAAAAGGGGGCTGCAGTCTGAAGGCACGCATACATTGCAAAGAGAACATCTGAATCTAATTTGATTTAGATTTAAACTGGAGGACTCTTTAGAGGTAAATCCTTTTTTTGCTGTTTTCTTCATCAAGTACTGTGGCCTGTCCAGGTGGAGTCCTCAACTCAAGACCTTTGGGGAGAACAGTTTGCAGATCAATAGCAGCTCCTAATTTTTCTTTCTATTTGGCATTTGGGTAGAATTAGGCATTTTTTTTTCTTTTTCAGTATTAGGGATCAAACCCAGGGCCTTGTGCATGTTAGACAAGCACTCTACCACTAAGCTACACCCCCAGCTCAGACACTTACTTTTATGTTGGAAGTTTCTTCTCTTTGCTATGTTGTGCAGAAGAAGGGGAAGAGGAGGGGGGTGTGGTTGTTGGTGTTGACCTTGAGGAAACCTCAGTGTAGGAGTTTCCTGGGGCTATTTTAATGAAGCATCACAAACCAGGTGGTTTAAGCAACAAAATTTTATTATGTTGTAGTCCTGGAGGCCAGAAGTTCAAGATCAAGGAGGTGGCAGGATTGGTTCTTCCTGAAACCTATGAGGGAGAATCTGTTTTATGTTTCTTTCCTGGATTCTGATGGTCAGCTGCTAATCTTTGGCATTGTACCAATTTCTGTTTTCATGTTCACATGGCATTTTGTGTGTGTGTGTGTGTGTGTGTGTTTGTGTGTTCCTATGTGTCCAAATTTTCCCCTTTTATGTTGCATTAGTATCTATCGTAATTTCATATAAGACCTTATTTTCATATAAGGTTGCAAACACAGGTACTGAGAATTAGGACATCAACATGTTTTGGGGAGAAACAATTCAACCCATATCACTAGGATTGACTGAAGCTGGAAAAGGCTGTGGTCTTCTTTCTGCCCTCTAACTTGAATCTGGAGGAGGTGTTACATTTGTTTAAGTGTGCAAATCCCAACATGCATGCTCTTTTTGTGGCTTAGCCATCATCCTCGATGAGCCAGCTTGTACCCTTCTGTCTTCATGTCTCACATTGCTGCATTTCCTTATATCATTTTAAAACGACTTTGTTGCTTTTTTAGTGTAATTTCCTCATATAAATGACAATATATGGGATTTGGAAAAGATCAACAAAATAAAACTTGATTTCCAGCATGAGAAACGGATCAAAATCTTATGATGCTTAAGTGTGTAGAAAATAGTAGGAGTTGTTTCTGAGTCCCCACTGGTTATTTTTTCCATGATCCTTGCACTCATGGCTCTTTCACACTCTCCTGTGCACACATTCATAAGATGCTAAAGAACACATGCACACACACGTAGACACATATACACAGAGAGAAAGCAGAGTTCTTTCAAAGAAGTTTGTATTCGTCCTCAACACAGCTCACTGGGTGTTGGCTTTAATTTCTCACATGTGGTAGTAACCTCCTTCGAGTTCCACTTGTTTTTTTCTTATTTTTTTTTTCTATTAACTCTCATAGGCAGATGGCTGTATTAAACGTCCAACCAGCTATTTGCCAGCATCAGAGTAAGAAGAAGATAAACTGCTACTGATTTCCCCCAGAGTAAACCTCTTTTATCTCAAAGAGTTGATTTGCCAGTGGGGTTGAGTAAACCTTGGGGTTGCAACACAGTTGAGGCACAAAGTTCACCACCAACGTAAAACAGCCAACCCAGTTCTGCTTTTTAATGTCTTTTAAACTGACGGAACTGAGCAATATAAACAAGGGTGAGGCAATAGCCTCAGGGGAATAAGGGCCGTGTTATATTGACAACTAATGAGTGAACAACTATTTTATCATCCTTATGTGCAGAATCCAATTTTGTTTATATGTCTCCAAAGTTTATTGGGAAATACGGGACAAGAAGAGAAAAGCTATGTGGAAATTATAAGAGAGACATTCATTGTTTATTTCTTGCTTGGTCAAATGATTCATGGGCTTACAGAATTAGAAAAACCCTTTCGAGAGCAACAAGTTCAATTTCCTTGTTTACTTATGTCCTCAAATACTGGTAAATTAAATGGCGATATGGTCTCATGCAGAGCTTAGAGGCTTTGGGTTCAAGGCTCTCACTTTGTACAATAAGAGATAAAAATTCTAGTTTATAGGTTGTTATGAAGTCTGAGAGCAGAGTTCCCAAATGGCCACTTAATGAGTTACCTTCTCTCCTTTGACCAGAGTCACTTGGTCAATTAGTCACAGAGGAGGGACTAGACCTCTTTTCTCAGTTCCATGTCTCACCTCTGCCCACTGTTATCTCAGTGTATGTAGGATTAGATTCTTGAAATCCCCCAAAGAACTCCAAAAACATCTTTTCAGTTAGTTGTTTTCAGCGGTCTCACCAGCAAGTTTACCAGAGCTGTTAATAATTAACCAAAGGGAGTGACTGGATGGAAACTTTTTCAGGACTCTCCAGAGTGAACCTTGCCAAAAATGGTGTGGGAGGAATACGGCAGGGAAGGAGAAGTCCGGACCCTGCAAAAACACACGTGTGCAACTGAAGGTCTTAGCTTTTGGACAGACTGAGTTGTGTGACTCAATGAAGCTTCATTTGTGTTATTTACAGAGTGAAGATCTAGTTCAGGATTCAAATTCACAGCAGTGGACCCACGTTCTGGATTTCCTCAGTGGCTTTTACTTGATACAATAAATTAGTAACTTCTTTCTGTAGTCCTGTTTTAACTTGATCTTCCTAGGGAGACTCACACAGTCAATATGGAAAGGACATGGAGTAGAGACTCATGGTATTTGAACATAAAGCACTTTGTTGTTGACGCTCTGGTTCTTGGCATGTCTTCATGAAAGTTGGTAATCAAAAAGTGCGAATCAAAGAATTAGATATGGAAATAGAAAACTCACAACCCCTATCTTCTGTCTAAAACATCAGTGTGGGATATTTGCTGCCTGCTAGTGCAAGGCTGCTAATTAAAGACTGCTTTTGTGGCCTTTTCTTGGTTTGCTTTTATGGACAAGTTCAGGTCAGGTAGAATTGCGGTGTCATTGAAACTCCCCTTTTCTCAGGAGGGGTCAGAATCTCACCCCATGGTGGTATCCAAGGAAGGCCACACAATTTTATTTTATTTTATTTTTTTTCACCTAGTTTCAGAATAAGAGGTCAAAATGCAGTAGGGCCAAACAAATTGTTAGCCAGCCCCAACTACCAATTCAGTCTGTCCTGGCCACCAGCAAATCCTCAGGAGCTAGAATTATGCAGAAGGTGTTCACTGCCTTCTTTCTGAACAAATGAGCGTCAGCATGGCTATTAGAAGGGTGGTTGTCCTTGACTTAGATGAAATCTCGCCAACTCTGGCTAGTTGGGTAGACCAAGCTTTGTATATGGTACCCTGTTAAATTCTATCTTCTAGACCCAGACACCACAGGGAAAAAAAAAATCAAGATCACAAAATAAGCAAATAAAACAATTTTATTTTAATTTTCTAACATTCCATTCTAAATTAATGAAGGAATAAGTTTGAATATCCTCTTGTTGAGAATAAGGATATTAACATCGCCTGAGTCAGGCTATTGCGAGGATTAATGAGTCTGTACATGTTTAGAACTGTCTGCCAAGGGCAAGGGCTCAATAAACCCTAGGTATTTATATTGATGTTGTCATGGTTTGAGTTTGGTTTTAGAGTAGATTTTCAATCTTCTTGTAATTTCCCATATGCATAAGCATGCATGTAGTGCCGCATAAATGCATACATGTTATCTCACACACATAATTTTTTGCTCTTTAGAGAAGTGTCTTGCCAATTGTTGTTTAGCTTCTGCTTCCCTCTCTTTTCTGCTTGCATTCCCTTGGCACCCCTCCAGGGCATTGAATTCTTGTTAGTGGCCTAAAATGTATTTGTATATTTCTCCCCTTGTTTATATAATCATATATACACATTTTTCATTTACATGTTTGGTGAAGGTTTGGTTACTATTAGTACCCAACAATGTATATTTTCTGCATTTTTTTAATTTAAAGTAGAACTTAACAGAAATCCTTCTTAAGCAACTATTTTGCTCTCATGAGTCTCTTTCTTTGGAGTGGCTGTTACTCATCCATGCTTGGATACTGTGTCCCTCTCCTTTCCGTGCTCTAAAGCCACTTCCACAAAGTGTCCTTTTACACAGGCCTTATGTTCTGTTGTTTGTGGGAGGGACTGAGGAGAGAAACTTGAGGGATAAATGGCACATGCATCTTTGTTAAATATATGTTAGTGATTTTCCATAACTATTTTTACATTTAAAATATTCTAAGCAATAATTTCTCTACATAACTATGATCAAGAGAGGTTATTGATTATTTCAGTTTTTACTAAATAGTTATACCTCATTATTACTGTAATTTACAGCTCCCTGACTGTGATATAACACGAGCCATTTTTCCTCTGTTTGTAGCCATTTGGGTTTGCTCCTCTGTGCATTTCCTGTTCTAATTCTTCATTCCTTTTTTATTTATTTATTTATTTTTAGTTTGTTGCTATGGATTAAATGAATGAAAGGAAGTTCTTGTGTCAGAAACTTAATCCCCAATGCAGAAGTGTTGGGAGACAGGCCAAATGGGAGGTTTTTAAATCAAGAAGTCTCTGCCTTCATAAATGGATTTATGTCATTATTGCAAGAATGGGTTTGCTTTAAAAGTGACTTTGTCCCCCTTTAGTCCTCTCCTGCCCCTTCTGCCTTCCACCATGGGATGATGCAGTCAATCACCTGTTACCAGCACTTGATATTGAAATTCCAGCCTCCAAAACGAGTAGATTTCTATTGTTTGTATGTTATCCAGTCTGTGGTTTTCCGTCATAGGTGCAGAAAGCAAACTAAGACAGTTCATCGTCTTTGTTTTTGTCAATTTGTAAAGAACAATAAATAAATAAATAAAAGCTTAGTGTCATCTCTGCTACAAATATTTCCAATCTTACCATTTGTCTGTTGACTTTGTTATTGAAGCTTTGTTTTGCCCAAAAGTTTAACTGTATGGTAAAGTTTTCTATATGATAACATTTTCATCTTTTTAAATATCTTCTGTACTTGCTCAAGAAAGTCTTCTTCCACCTGTAGATTGTACATATATATACATATGATATCTAGGGAGCATTTTGAAAATGATTGATTTGGAATCTGTACTTACATATTAGCTTTCCATATATGTGTCAATTTGTTCTCAATATGTGTATGTATAGACACACCATATATATGTGTATTCACATTTTTATAAACATGCATAAATACATATATTCATATGTGTAGGTGTATATCCAATCATTGGTTCCCTATTTATTTGCACTGATTTCTACTATTGCCTACATGTTCCATAAGCAATTTGATTCAGGTGTCAAAGAGAGCTTTGAGTCAATTGTGGAGGGGAAGAAAGCTAACTGCAACTATAGATTTCAAGTTAACTATAGATTCTAAATCCAAGCATTTTGAGCCTGTAACACCATACTTCATTCCATTTTTTAAAAATGAAACACAATCTTTTTCAGAGAGTATCTCTTTATCCATTCATCTATGGAAGGGCACCTAAGTTGGTTTCATAGTTTAGCTATTGTGAATTGAGCTGCTATAAACATTGATGTGGCTGCATCACTGTAGTATGCTGATTTTAAGTCTTTTGGGTATAAACCTAGAAGCAGAAAGACTGGGTCAAAGGATGGTTCCATTCCAAGTTTTCTGAGGAATCTCCATACTGCTTTTCAGAGTGATTGCACCAATTTGCAGTCCCACCAGCAATGTATGAGTGTACCTTTTCCCCACATCCTCACCAATACTTATTGTTGCTTGTGTTCTTGATAACTGCCATTCTGACTGGAGTGAGATAAACTCCCAGTGTAGTTTTGATCTTCATTTCTCTGGTTGCTAGAGATGTTGAACATTTAGCCCATTCATTGATTGAGTTATTTGGCTTTTTTGGTGTTAAGTTTTTTGAGTTCTTTATATATCCCAGAGAATAGTGCTCTATTTAATGTGTGTGTGGTAAAAATTTGCTCCCATTCTGCAGGCTCTCTCATCACCTCGTTGATTGTTTCTTTTGCTGAGAAGAAGCTTTTTAGTTTGAATCCATCCCATTTATTGATTCTTGATTTTATTTATTGCACTTTAGGAGTCTTGTTAAGGAAGTTGGGGCCTAATTTGACATGATGATTTTGGGGGCCTACTTTTTCTTCTATTAGGTGCAGGGTCTCTGGTCTTATTCCTAGATCCTTGATCCACTTTGAGTTGAGTTTCGTGCATGGTAAGAGATAAAGGCTTAATTTCATTTTGTTGAGTATGGATTTTCAGTTTTTCTAGCACCATTTTTTGAAGAGGCTGTTTTCTCTAATATATATTTTTGGCACTTTTGTCTAGTATGACAGTCTGTGTTTTTTGATTGATGAGTTTAAGGTATTAATGTTTAAGATTATTATTGAGATATGATTTGTTTTCCCAGTCATTTGAGTTTATTTCTAGTTTTTAATGTGAACTAGTTTCTCCTTTGATTGAGCATTCCTTTAGTGTAGTTCCTCCCTTTACCAGTTTTCACTTTTTTAAAAAAATTTCATCTTCATAGAATATTTTGTTGAGAAGGTTCTGTAGTGCAGGCTTTCTAGCTGCAAATTCTTTTAACTTTTGTTTATCATGGAAGGTTTTTTTTTTTCATTTTCAAATCTGAAGATTAATTTTATGGATATAGGATTCTAGGTTGGCATTCATTTTCTTTCAGAGCTTGGTATATGTTATTCTAGGACCTCCAAGCTTTGAGGGTCTGGATTGAGAAGTCAGCTGAGATCTGAATTGGTCTCCCCCCTATATATAATCTGACATTTTTCTCTCACAGCCTTTAAAATTCTATCTTTATTCTGTATGCTAGGCATTTTCATTATAACATGCCTTGTTGTTGGTCTGTTTAATTTTGTACATTTGGGGTCCTGTAAGCCTCTTGTATTTGATTTTCCATTTCATTCATTAGATTTGGGAAATTTTCTGATGTTATTTTATCAAAAAGATGGTGCATTTCTTGGGTTTGTATCTCCACACCTTTATTTATCCTGATAAATCTTAAAATTTGGTCTTTTCATGTTATCTCATAGTTCTTGGAAATTTTGTCCGTGGTTTCTTAACATCTTCTCTCTGTGATCACCTCTATTTTCAAGATGATATATTTTGTCTTCATTGCCTGAGGTTCTGTCTTCCAAGTAGTCTAACCTGTTGGTGATGCTTTCTGTTGAATTTTTAATCTGGTTTATTGTTTCTTTATTTTTGAGGATTTCTATCTGTTTGTTTTGTTCAGAATGTCTGCCTCTTTATTAAAGTGATTGTTCACTTCTTATATTTTCTCTTTGATTTCATTCCGTATACCATTCTTTATTTCACAGATCAGTTTAACTATGTACATTCTAAACTCCTTCTCTTGATATTTCTTTCACTATGGTGTGGATGGATTCTGTTATTTGAGTGTCTTGGTTTGCTTGGGGCAATTTGTTCCCTTGCTTTTTCATGTTGTTTGTGTGTCTACCCATCTAACAGTGTGGATCTGAGGCAGTAGCATTTCTGGCCCGTGAACTTATAGTGTTCCTGAAAGTATCCAGTACCTCACTGTTTAGGGGCAGACAAATAATTACAACAACCAATGCAAAAATAATACATCATTAAACCAAATAATTCCTACTATGATGTGTACAATGTTAATTATCACAATAAACAGAAATGATATGATCAGTTATTGTCTATAATAAAAAGAGCAAGTTTACAAAAGGGTTTACAGTTTCAAATGGTGGACAGGGAGAGAAAAGGAGCGATATAGGATGTGATGCTTATGAAGGAGAAGGGGAGAAGACAAAGGGAAAGATTAAAGGAAGAGTGAAAGAGAAAAAGAGATTGGCTGTCAGTGGAAGAAAAGAGAGAATCAGGGGGAAAAAGAGAAGAAGGTACATATAAAGTAAAAATTTTAAAAAGTTAAAAATAAATATAAAAGAACATAAAACAAAACTAAAATATACTAAAAAAAGTCCTAGTTAACAACAACAAAAAAATAATCCATGTAAAATAACTGGCTTCAAAAATGCTAGAAATGAGAAAAAATATGAAACTATATAAATGTTCATGTATCATCAAGGTCACAATTAAACAGAGAAAAAGAAGAAAACAAAGAAAGGAAAAATCTTGATGAAGATTTTTAAAGAATTCTTACTGTTGGAGTTCAAAATATTCTCAGCTTCTCTTCTCAGTAGTTTTAGGTGGGATCTTTTGGGGTGTGAGAGGTAATCCTGAAGGCAGAAATTCTAGAGGCAGTGTTCAGGCTTAGATGGGCTCCAGGCTCTTCTCTGAATGCCAGTTGGTCTGAAGATTTTAAAACAGTGCACCCTCAGTGCCCAATACTTGCTGGCCCATTCTGGAAGACTTTATCCTAGGGATCTCCCCTGGGTTCCCCTAGAATTTTGGGGGAGCCAATTCTTAGTCCCCTGTGTCACCTGTGGACCCCATGTTTCCTGGTTCAGTCTCCAAACAATCTGTACTATCCCCGTCCTTGTGAGTTCCTGGCCAGATGTGTCTTTCCCAGGGGTCCTGCAAGCAGTCAGATTGGAGGAGGAGGGGTAGAGCCAGCTGGGTTTCTGAGGCTACTTGTTCCCTGTGTAAACCTCTCTCCATGTTTGATTTTTCTCCTGGTCACTTAAGCACACTCTATATTTTGCAGGGTGTGTTTACTGGGCCTGTATTTGAAACCAAACTCAGGTTCGTCAGGTATAGGCTTCCTCAGCTGCCAGTCCTTATGCAGTGACTGCCAAATGGTTCCTTTCTTTTTTTTTCCACAGGCTGCCTGGAGTGATAGTGGCTTCTTTCCCACACATGGATATGGTGCTGCTTGTCTTTCAGGTTTGTTGAGTATTGTCCTTGGTCTCTAAATGCTCCATACCCAAACATGCCTAGGCTTCCCCAAAATGTGTGTTCCTAATTCCCTCATCCCTCTACTATGCTCATAGAGCTTCTGGACCCACTGCAGCTACAGATGTGCCACTGGGGATTTCTTCCTTATTTTATTATATCCAACCTCCTATGTCCCTGGTCTGCTTTGAATGTCCAGTTTTAAGTTCCATTAAGGTACCTGCCCCTCCCCCCTTTCCTTTTGTTAACCCACCTTGAAGAGAAGCTGCCCGTCTGCTTTCTTGGTTTTACATCAAGGAGCAGCCAGCAACGTGAACTCCTGTATTCCAACATCTTGGGTGAGTCTCCCTCTTAATTTCTTTTCTTCAAATGTTGTGCATGCTAATGTTGGTTATAGAAACCCAATTTTACTTATTTCTGGACAAAAGTTGTGGATATTTGCCAGCAATGCCAGCACAATTATAGAGTTGCATCCAAGCATATCACAGAAGCACAATTACTTATTAAGAAACATTTCCTATGAATCTGGGTTCATGGACCTTGAATTCTATTTAAAGTCATAGGGGAAAAAGCAGGGCACAACAATTTCATTATTTAATATGAAATATGATGTACAGCAATGATGCTCTCTCTTCTTAGTCAGATCTCATTCTCATTAGTGACTAAAGGCTGATGTTTCTTTATGGGCTTTCCAATTGGTGACCTTAATAAAAAGACCAAGGCAAAACTCTAGCTTGTTCATCTATCTTCCTCTCACTGCTCTAAGAGAAGCATCAAGGAAATGCCTTTTCTACAAATCAAGTCCCGATTCAGTGCCAAAACATTTTAAGAAATAGAATTCCATAGGTAGATGCCCCACCCCAAGACAACTTAACAGTCCTCAGGACATTTTTGGGGGAGAGAGATGGAGGACATGCTATGTATGATATTTTATTATATAAGGCCTGTCTTTTTCTTTGTTTTCTGTACTTAAGCAAAATAGATCTGTTTCTTAGCACATGAACTTATAGCATCATAGGATCTTAGAATTGTAAAGGGAATTATAATTCAGGTTGGGTCATATCAAACTCCAGCTAAATGCTTCATTTCTTTCTTCATTTCCCAAATTATCAGTTGTTTTAAAGGAAGGCAGGATTCTTTAGATGCCTGGACTCAGTTTCAGTTCTTTTCTTCTTCCTCTGAACTTTGTTTCCCTGGTTTTGCCAGGAGGACTTTCCAGGGGTGGGGCTTTGTGTGAGAACACATTGGTGCCCTTCATTTTGGAGGGAGGTGATCACAGCAGGGGATTTTTCTTCATGGAAGGAGCATGTATGAGTACATTTTTTTTCTTTTTTCCTACTCAGCACAGCTGGTAGTTCCCTGCTGACTGGTGTTTGTTTTGAAGTCACGTGGCAAAGGGGGTTTCTGCCAATGTTTACTCATTACACATTCAAATATGACACCCTGACGCCCATTCACAGGAGAGTTTCAGTGTTGCTACCCAGTTCTCCTGCCAGAAATGGAAAGTTTATTCCCAGAGTGAAAGTTGCTTTTTTTTTGTTTTTGTTTTTGTTTTTTTCCGAAATGCAGAAGGTTTAGCATTTGACAGGGGTAATTTAGAATTGTTACTTTTGCAATATTAAATGTATTTGGCTTTTATATAATTTGACTGCTTGGCTGATTATACTTAAAATATCTCTCAATCAGTACTGCATTTATTAGAGAAGAACCTCACAGGATGAGGAAAATAAGCTCACAATCACTTTACATGAGCTATAGTGACATAAATTGAAACACTCTGACTCCTCTTCAGGGCCCCTCCCTGTAGAAAAGACACCCATGAGCACAAGGCCACGTGACTTGCTTTGGCCAATGAACTGAGAGTGAAAGCCACTTTCTATCAGAAGCTCTAAGAGACAATGTGGGGGCTATAAATGAGACTTTTTTACCCTGCCACTGTGACTGGAAATGTTCCAGACAGAGGCTGCTCTGTCAGCTGGGGGTTTCTGAAGCAAACACAGAGTAGATCCCAGCTCATGTGGAATATGAGCAAGAAATCAAGCTTGACTATTGTGAATTTTTGAGATCTGAGCACCCCTTATTACTGCAATGTAACCTGGCTTACTCTTTCTATTGCAGATTATATACCAGAAATAGCAGAAAGAACCCAAGTTCAAATTCTGCTTCTGGCATTTAATCATGAGGTGAACTTGGACATTTCTGAAGTACCAATGACTTTTGCAACTTGCACCCATTTCTTCTTCTGAGAAATGAGCATAATAGCTGGCACCTTCCTGTTGGGGCTAAAATGGTATCACTCAAGTTGTAGCACAGAAAAGGACCACACCCTATGTACAGGAATGGCACTATGAAAGCTGGATTATTTTTTTTCTCTTTTGGTGAGTTGTATGCACTGATTTTCATCTCTTTTCAATTATCTAATGAATAAATGTTCTGAGGTGTATATTATTGTAAAGTTTTGTAAACAGTCTAGCACAGCTATTCATATATACTTTCCTGAGAATGGCACTTCTGACTGTGGGGCACTTTTCCTTTTAAACTGCCAGCTTTGAGATGGACACACATGGAGTAGTGCTGACACATTAGACACTTGCCTGGCCGTGCCAATCAGCCCAGTAATCTTTTCTGAGACATGAGCATCTCATGTTCTGGCCACTTTGTTTTCCCATTCTGAAACATTCTAAGTAACAGAAAAAAACTGTTATTTATTTTGGTGGAAGAATTAGGTAGTGGAAACAGCATTAGCTTTAGAATCAAAGTTGGCACGCAGTAGTCACTCAGTGAATACTTGTTGAATAAACGGATGTATCAACTGAAATCTGGTCAATCGGTTCTAGCCATGTGATGTTACAAAAGTTGACTTAATTTCTCTGAGGTTAATTTTCTCACCTGTAACAAACTAAATAATAATCTCTACTTTGTAGGATTTTTTTTAAAGCATTAATGGAATGGGTTGATGAAAGTGTTCAGTAAAGATTGAATAAATGTGAACCTTTGATTTATTAGCCATGTTATACCCTGGAACAGGTGGCCAGCATATAGAAATAAAAGAATGGGCCTTTGGCTTTGTATGCAGGGCTTCGTTAATGAGGTTTCTAGATATCTTCTGGAAAAAAAATCAATAGCATTTTGATAAGACCATACTTCTTTGCCACAGAAGCAATTCCATATGAGTGCACCGAGGAAAACATTTAAAATGCTTTTGATACACAAAAGCTTCAAGGGCTCTGTCTTTGGAAAGCTTTCCTACAAAAGGAACTACACTGTCTCCTATGGCCAGATTTCTAGATTGGTTTCCCGTCCCTTCTCAGCTGCACTGCCTTTATCTCTTAGAGTGGCCTGTATCTGCCTCTTTAATATATTTGCAGTGCTTGAAAGACCTTTCTGCAGGTTTTTCTCAATATCAAACTTAGAAATTTATATGAGCAACAATAAGGTAGATGGTAAAAACTTTTAAAGGATCTGCATCAACCAAAACAGAAGAGGTTTTGTATGGCTGAATACCTATTATACACCCGGAGCTTTTCGGTGTTTAGAATTTCATTTAATCCTCACAGCAACCCTGTAATATAAGTGGTTTATATTTATTTTTTTTGCAGTGGAGATTTTAAAATGAAGACTTGAAGGTACAAAGAAGTTTAGGAATTTGCCCAACGTCACATAAGCAATAAGTGGCATCACTGGGAATTGAATGCCAGTCAGTTTCATTCCAAAATCATGTTCTTCCTGTCACATTAACCCTCCCCACTGACTCCTGAGTACTCACTGATCCTCTGCATGATGCAACAAAGAAGTCTGACAGCTCCCAGGTGTTGTGGAGAGAGCAGAAGGACCTGGGTTCTCACACTAGCAATGTCATTTACTAATTATGTGGCCTTGGGCAGATTACTTATCATCTCTGAGCCTTAAGTGCCTCATTAGTAAAAAGAGGAAAATCACCCCTTTCAGTCTGCCATTGTGAAAATCAGAGACGATATAGAAAGAGTGCTTGGCAGAGAGGAGATATTCAATGCATGCATATCAGTGATGTTATTGTTATTGTCATCCTGAATAAATGCATCCCTGAACAGATGATGAACCCCACAGAACTGCACTTGGTAAGTATCCAAGGGGTGACACAGGTATCATGTATACTTGAAAGGAAGTGCAAGGGGAAGATTGTTTCTTACTGAAACAACCGAGACCTGATTGCAAGTTAGATCTGTTACAAGACTATAAAGTCCACAAGGGTAGGAATGGGGGCCTGCTTCTCTTAGCATTGTCTTTCTAGGATCTAGGATATTAGGCAGCATCAAACAGGTGTTAAATAAACGTGTGTTGATGAAGTGAAGGAAAGTTGAGCCTTGATGGATTTTGAAGGAGCATAAAGGAGGCTGGAGGGAATACAAAAGTGAGTTAAAAATGTGGTCAGAAAACATAACGTTTACAGGAAATAGAAAGTGAAATGATATGCCTGGAGAAAAGATATGCTTAGAGAAGTAAATTGAGAAGTCAGAGAAAATGGGAATTTAAGATGTGGCATGACAATCAGTGATCTATTTTCTGCAGTGGGTTAGAAGAGAAGCTAATTCAATAATCAGGCAATGAAGAGACCAGTGGTTGTCCTTATAAGGTTATTGTAGTGCTGCTGATCTAGTTGCTGTGAGTATTAAATGAACTATTACACATGAAGAGCCTGGCACAGTGCCTGCCACATAGCAGGCACATAGTGAATTAGTTACTACTAATATTGAATTACTTTTTGTCATTTTGTGACACTTTGGTGGGTGATGATAGCAGAAGCCACATTGTGGCAGTTGGAGCAACAAACCAGAGAGCTGACAGATACTGACACCAATGAAGAACATGTAGGTATGAAGCATGGCCCAAGCCCTCCATGGGACCCAGAACTGAAATGTCCTGTTGTCCTCCTCTGTTCACTGGAATACTGACATGTCCCTCAAGCATCTTATTGCCAGGTGCAGAGTCAAGGTCTCAATAATGAGTACATTACCAGCCAATTTTGAAAGCCCATCTTGTGGACTTCTTCCTGTGGCACTCTCCAAACCCAGCCAGTTTCTCTCCTGCACCCAGGTGCTATCCTGAGGGTAAAAAAGGATATACCTAGGTCCTGTCCTTTATCCAAATGTTACTGAGGTACCTAATGTAGCTTTGTTTCATCAAACTGAGATGACGAGGTTGGATAAAAATTCACTTTTAGGGCTGGAGATGTGGCTCAAGCGGTAGCCCGCTCGCCTGGCATGCGTGCCGCCCGGGTTCGATCCTCAGCACCACATACAAACAAAGATGTTGTGTCCGCTGAAAACTAAAAAAATAAAATAAAGTTCTCTCTTTCTCTCTCTCTCTCTCTCAAAAAAAAAAATCACTTTTATTTTTTTCCCCTTGTTTCCAGCAGGTCTTAGGAATGGGAATAGAGAAGTTGTAGATTAAATAGAGAGGAATTTTAGAACAAATGCTCCTTGCATAACTGAGTATTGTGTTAGCAATTTTATGGCCTCACTATGCAAGTGCTTAACTATAACACCAGTTAGGAGGTGATAAAGAGCACATAAGTGCTGTGGGAATTTGAAGGAATTATTTCGGTGAATTGGGAACGGTTTTGTGAAGGAGAAAGAACTGGAGCTATTTTTTTTCTCCAAAAACAAAAAAAAATTTAGAACATATCAAAAAATGGAAAGATTCATAGAATGAACCCCCACATAAACTTCCACGAGATTCCATATGTAGTACTCTCTTGGTGTATTTGCTTGCCCTTCATACAAAATATATATGAATACATATACATTCTTATATATGAAAGGCGTATTCTTTTCAGGGCCATCAGAGAGCAAGTTGCAGACGTCATGTCACTTCGATCCTAAATACTTTGGAGTGTCTCTTGTGGATGAGGTTCTCCTGCATAACCACAACACCATTATCATGATCACCAAAGAAAACTGAGGAATCGGTTGGGATTTGGAAGAAGGGTAGGGTTTGGAAGTTGGTGAGCAGCCAAAGGGCAGAGGACACTAGACTCAAGACAGCTCTAGTGCCCCCCATTTGATGGTCCAGCAGAATGAAGTGATTTGCTAAAGGCCACAAAAGTAGTTGGGAAAGAACTGGGACTAGAAACCACATTTCCTGATTCCTTCTGCATTGCTCCCCACCACCCTCCTCTTCCAGGCACGATGCTATATTTAGAATGTGACACTCTTGGCTTTACGCAGGGGCACCTTGAACTCCATCTCAGTTAAAAAAAGATTGTTGTACAGCACCTTTCCATGTAGGTTTCCACAATGTTGCCAAGTGAATCCTGCCAGTTCTCCTGTAAGATCGAGATTTTAAACAGGTGGAGAAATAGAAATAAGGATGACTAACTGCACATGAAGTCATGGAAAAAGCCAGGAGTAATATTCCAGGTTCCTGAAGGAAAAAAAATAGTGCTATAGCCTGAGCTGGCATCCACTTTCTTGCCCTGTGGCCTTTGGGGCCTGGTGCCCCTCCTTCCCCCTTGTTCTGCTTCCCACAGTAATAGAGGAGGAACCAGCAGATGTGGGTGTGGAGCTTGCTGGGCTGTGAATCAGGACACTTGTATGCTGGTCTGGCTTCGCTCCTGACTCTTCCTGTGACTTTAGACAGTGGTTCTCAACTAGGGGTGACTTGGCTCCCCTGGGGCATATTTGGCCATGCCTGAATATCCTTTTGGTTGCTGCTAGTGACATCTTGGTAGAGGTTAAGAATGCACTCAACATTCTGCCTCACACTGGAAGACCCCACTACCAAAGGTTACTCAGTCCAACATGCCCATAGCACTGAGGTTTAAAGACACTCTGCTTTCGACAACGCATTTCTTTTGTCCAGGTCCTAATGGTTTTGCTTTGAAATGGGCACATATGGGCTAGCTCAGTGGTCTTTGACCCTGAGCATGCTCCAGAATTTCCTGGGATGCTTGTTAAAAAATTGCGGGTTCCTGTTCCCTTTAAGGATCCCATAAATGATACACAAAGTTTACACCTTGAGCAGTTCTGTGCTGGGTGGTTTCTAAGATCCTTCTTAGCTCACCTGCTTTCCAATTCTGAAAATGCTGATACATAATAACCAAGGTACTTCAAGTTCCTACCTGAACACAGGATGAATATGCAAATAGGAAACGATAATCTTACTTAAATCTGCACACATCCCTGCACTCCCTTGGGCCCCATATGGTCAGGTACATATGTGGTGAGACTTGAAACCCAGTTCTTTTTGCCCTTCCTTTGAAGTCTGTGCACCCACTGACACCTGGTGTGGACAATGTTCTAAGTATGTACCACTTATGCTGGAACACCTGGTGTTGACAGTACATGATGGCACACCCATATCCCCATAAATTCAAGTGTCAACTCTCCAAGCGCCTTTT